TATCCCTGAAGATATTGTTATAGTGCTTTAATATAAATAAATATTGTATAGAAACTAAATGAAAATCACATGACAGTAAAAATGTAGATTCCCAATTTTGTCCATGTGTTGTACAGATTTTCCTTACAAGTGAAAACATTCTCCAAAATACCAACAGCTGAAACAGGTTGCAAAAAAAATTATTAAAAAATGTCATGTTATATGATCAATTATTTAAAGATTGTTTTAGTTGTCTCAAATAAATAAATAAACAGTAGAAACAAGACTGAATTGTTCAGAAAAAGTGGTGGAAAAAAATATTGCCAATTTTGCTCAATATGTTAGCTAGGTTTAGTTCACATTTACCTGAAAGCTACCTGAAATTAATAAGAACGTATTGCTGCAAATTTAATACATTTTATGTACTATCTGTGAAGATATAGGTATATAGTAATAATATGGAAATTAAAAAAGCTATAGACACTTAATTAAAATCATGAGAAGGACATCCTTGTAAAAGATTGCTAATTTTGTTCATGTGTTGTACATGTTTTCCTTACAAGTGAAACCATACTGTTCACTTCTGAACAAAATCCTGCTGAAATTGATAGATTGATAAAAACATATTGCTGAAATGTTGGCTGTGTAATAGTAATACAACTAAATACACTTCATTCAAATATTTAAAGATTAGCTATTTAGTAATGTAATATGGAAATTAAAACAAAACTATAAACACTTGATTAAATCCCTGAGGACATTCGTGAAAAAGATTGCCAATTTTGTTCATCTGTTGTACACGTTTTCCTTATAAGTGAAACCATTCTTCAAAACACCACCAGCTGAAACTGGTTGAAAAGAAAAAAAAAAAACATTAAAAAATTGTGTGAGCAATTATTAAAAGTTTGGTTTTAGTTGTTTCAAATAAATAAACAAGACTGAATTATTCAGAAAGTGATGAAAAATAATTATTGCCAATTTTGCTCAATATGTTAGCCAAGTTACATTCACATTTACATGAAAGCTACAGCTGAAATTAATAAGAATGTAATACTACAGATTTGCTACGTTTTATGTACTATCTGTGAAAATACGGTTTAGTAAGTCCCTCCACGACATCAAAAGTTTGATTGCCAATTTTGTTCATATGTTGTACTGGTTGTCCTTATAAGTAAGACCATAGTATTCACTTCTGAACATAATCCCGCTGAAATTGATTGATTGATAAAAACATATTTCTGAAATGTAATAGTAATACAACTAAATACACTTCATTCAAATATTTCAGAAATTTGTGTAGAAAAAGTTTTTTTTGTCTAATATTGGCTTATAAGAGATAACATTCAGTTTACAAGAAAACCACAGGTGAAACTGATAGAATAGAATAAATTACGAAAACTTTGTCATGCTATATGAACCATCCCTGAATATATTGCTATCTTAAATATAAATAAATAAACTTCATGAAAATCCCACGACATTTGTAAAAGTATAGATTGCCAATTTTGTTCATGTGTTATACACGTTTTCCTTATAAGTGAAACCATTCCCCAAAACAGCAACAACTGAAACATGTTGAATAGAAAAACATCATTAAAAATTGACATGTATGAACAATTATTACATTGAATTAGCCAATGCCGATGTGCAAAGCAAAGACAAAAAAACTTGAATTGTTAAGAAAGAGGAAAGAGTCATGAACAGAATTATTGCCAATGTTGGCTAAGTTGGATTCACATTTGCATGAAAGCCAGAACTGAAACTGATAAGAAGATAGTATCCTAAAAGATATTGCTACATAATAATGTAAATATTAAAATAAATCAATAAGTAAGAGAATAAATAGATATATAAATTTTGTCCATATGTTTGTGAAGTCGAGTTGTATAAGTTCTTATAAGTGAAGCCATCAGTACAGATGAAACTATGAATTTGCCATGCTATATGAACTACCTCTGAAGATAGTTTTAGATTATATTACTGTAACATCAATAAATAAACTATAGAAACTTTATTCAACCCCCTCCAGGACATTCATAAAAAATTGGATTGCCATTTTTTTTATATGTGGTACTGGTTTTCCACATAAATGAGACCATTCAGTACTCATATACCCCACAGAAGCCACAAATTGAACAGGTTGATAAGAAGAAATCACTTAAAATTTGCCATGAACCATCATTGAACATATTGATTTTGTTAATAGGTTAATACGAGCTACATTAAATTGTTCTGAAAGAGTTGTGAGAAGAATGATGGTCAATTTTGCTCATACATATGCTGACTAAGTTTGGGTTCAGATTTACATGACAGCCATAGCTAAAAATGTCAACTCTCTCTGAAGTTGATGCTATACAGGTTAAATGTCAATACTTTCTTGGTGGATTCAGTAAATAAAACATAGTTTAGTGCCACCAGAATGAGCTTTCCTGTGATATTAACATTTTTGTCATTTTAGTTTAAAAAATTTTTTTTACATAAAAATTATAATTTCTCAACTTTAGCATCATTGAAATACAAATCTGACCGTTATTTTATAAAATACATTAAATATCCCACAATATAGCATTTTCATTGAAAAATTTGCACTTCCCAATACTCCGTTGCTGCTCAAAAGAAGAACAAATGGCAAAACCCATTTTTTGGGAGATTTCACCGAAGATGTCTTATTTTAAATATTCCCACAACATACTCACTTTTACAATTTTTTAGAATTTTTGTTAGTGATAATTAAACTTCCCAAAGGACATTGGTATAAAGTTTAAAAGTTTCAGGTGATGGTTTTAAGAAAAACAAGATACAACAAAAGATAAATTTAACATGACCTAACAGGGTTAACCCAAAGATCGTGAATACCCCTATTATCATCATTACAAAAGATTAGTATAAAAGCTGTAAAATGAAAAGTCGGCTGACAATTGTATAATTTTACGTTTTATTTTTAACTATGGTACCTGTTTGTGTTAATAGGTTGGGAAGGTATTTAGTCATTCTATGATAAATTATTACTGTATTATTACTTATTTTCTAATTAGTCGTATGAATATATGTAAGCCCCTAATTTTTTTTCCCATGCATAGCCAAGGTTCAGCTGCATTTTATGAAATTTCAGTGAAGAAAAGTGAATCATGTACAAACATACTTTCATAAACCATTGAAAACAATAAATCCTGAGAAATCAAAATGCAGATGCACAATTTTATATGTTCCATGTTTAACTTTGGCCCAGCTTTTGATTATAGGTTGGAAATTTATTCATCCGATTGTTATTAAAAAAGCAAGAAAAACTACGAAAACAGTATAATAATGTTTTATTTAGCCGTTAGAATTGAATAAATTGGACAGTTGGCTCCTTCTTAAATAAGAAAAGCAAAAACTGTTGAGGAATATCTTTCTGTTATTTTTATATGTATCATTTTTTTAAATTAATTAATTTATTTTATTTGTTAACTGACAACTACGTAATGGGTGATCTGGATGGATTGATTCCGATTTAAACTTAAATTTCCAGTTTTAATGAATATCATTAAATGTGTTCATGTATTGTAGGAATCGTCATAACATTTAAGTTTGTCCTGGAACATACTAAGGGACTGATAAAATATATGTTCAAATACAACATTAAAACTGTTTTATTATTGAACTGGAAGAATTGGATTTATGTATAATTTCAGTACATTTTGTACCCGGTGATTTGTTTTCTTGGGCACAACGTTTAAATAATTGTGCTTGCATTATTAAAATACTTCAATTGCTATTAAAATGAGCAGCTTATTTTATGCGATCTCGCGATCAGATGAAATATATCAGACTTGACCTTAATATGAAGGCCAGATTAACTTGGTAATTTATGCCAGATAAAGTTGCCAGTCGATATGTATGACGAAAGAACAAGATTCACTCTGAATTGAAAATTATCACCATATTTCGAGAGCATGACTTAATATTCAATTAAACACAAGTTTTTCTTGTAATAAATTTGAAATAATAAAACAGAAAAACTAAAATGAACAAACCCTCGATAGTCGTCTAAACTTGAGTTTATTCTAACAGATATTACTTAATTTCAAAGGCTTGGGAAAACAATTTTGATTATTTTTATTGCCTTCAGGAAGGCAAAGGACAGCCGGGTCATTGAAGCACACAAATAAATGGCATTTCATGCACGATTTATGTAATTTTCATCCGTGAATGACTTAAATATGGGTTCAGCATTCTCTGATATCCACAAACCCACTTTCTTTGTTGAACGTAGCCAGTCTTCTAGTTACAGTGGTTGTGCTTTCGCATAATCTACAGATGTTTGTTAAGATTTTGGTTTTTAATTAGCAAAACTCAAACAGTCTTAATTTTTATTTTCAAAATGAATTTAGATATAATTATAAATTTAATTAAAAACAATGAAATATTGATTTTTTTTCTTGGCTTACTTTATCTTTCATCTAATTAGTATCTTTTTCAGTTTGTGAAAGCTCAAGCATTCTGAAAGGAAGCTTGGACTTAACTGAGGAATTTGGAAAAATGAGCCTTACTACTTATCGTTACCACGACAGAGCCTCTTTTCCATGTACAGCCCTCAATGTATCATTTTCAGATGTTAAATGGACCAGTAAGTCAGACAATAACTCTCTGTTAATTATTAATTAATTAATTAACTCAATTATTTTTAGAGATATATATGCGGTTTATTCAGAACCAATTCAAAGTCCCTGCTCTTTGTCGAGAATTTCGTATACAGCCTGAGCTGGCAGCGTTTCCAGTATTTTTCGATTGCCGTTGGGCAAGGTATTACAACCACTCGGCCATCTACCACTTCGACTATCAAGCTTACCTTCCGTCTGGAGATGTCTATGTCTATAAATATATATTCTTTGTTCCAAATAACCACAACATTGGTAATTACATTATAATAAATAGGTGTTTTTATTTTCAACGTATCAAATTTTCTTTAAATTAATAAAGAAATTTGGGATGCTCAGGCGATGCCTGGCCATGAGTGAACAGATTCACTGGCCTGGGTGATCCTCTGATGCGTGTTTACACTTTGATAAGCAGTCATTTTCCTCATTAGCCTTCCCTTTAACATTAAATTTTATAAAATACCACAGATGATTAAAGTTTAGAGAATAACATGTTAAAAATTGGTAATTTACAAAAGGAATAGAGGTAATAATAGTTATGCAGATCTCTTTTTGTTGGATAAATATTTTATTACATCTAAAGCTTTTCTTTCTTAAAGTTAATTAGAAAATTGTTTTGACTTGATTTTTTAAATAATTAAACAAAAGTTTTGACATGATTTGTTGTAAAAAAAATTGATTGTGCATTATTTTTAGTAAGAATTAAATATTATATTTTGTAATTTTTATTTCACTTTATTATAATTATATTTGTGAAAAAAAATTAAATTGACGTTTTACAGCTCCTGAAAAAGCAAATGTAAAGGAATGGGACATTTTCATGGTTGTTGACATGTCTGGTACCCCCAACCGACTTGTCCTGCGGATCCAGGTGCCTCCCAAGTCTCTTGGCATTACAGGCTTCAAAGTGGAGGTGATGAGGACGCTCGAGCAGAACACGTGGGTCGTCCAGAACGGCTCGCTCATGCCCAAGGGGAACGAGACCGAGATTAGATATGTCTTCGACACGAAACTCAAATTTGGAAAATACAAGTTCCACGTGACTCCGATTCATGCCAACTGCACTTCGAAGAGCAGATGCAAGGTGTCGAGCACTCCTGAAATTCTCATAGGTACGATCTACTATCTCAACATCATCATAATCAATGTGAATGCTGATATGTTGACATAATAATCTGGACTTAACCATCTGCATGTATATGCTCCCTGTTTTATTTGAGACTCCTTAGGTTTTGGACTTAATACCTTCAACTAATATGGTAGCACCACTCTTTGTTCATTACAGGTACTTCTTATTCTTTCTAGTAACACTGAACTAATAGAGTTTTAGTTTGAATTTATAAACTTAAAGTTTGTGTTGTAATATTTGTATTGTATGAGTGTTTCAGTTCTCTTCTCCCAGTTGGTGTTTTCTCTATTACTGTCTTTATTAGTTTCCTTTTTCATTTTCTTTTCCTAATTTTTTTTTCCTTAGGTGCAGACTATCCGATTGATAATAAAACCCGTTTGGTCTGTTACAGTAGAAATGACAGAGCCTAAACTTCTGACTGGCATCGTTGTTACAGTAATCCTCATCCCAATCTTCCTCATGGCGTATTTCATTTGGAAGAGACAGTGCGATGTTAAAGAGCCACGTAAGTTTCCACTTTTACAAGCTCAACCATTTATTTATTTTTTTTTTTTTAAATATACACAACATATATATGTATTTTTTTAGCGAGTGAACCCCATCCGCCTAAGTTTCTTATGTTGTACAAGCCTGTGTCTGTTGAGCACATTAAGATAATGATGGAGCTATATAAATACTTCACAAAAGTCTGTCATGTCGATGCGATGCTAGACCAATTTGGTATACCAGAATCTGAATCAAAGGTATATACTTAAATTGGCACCCCACTTGTATTAATTTTTGCTTGATGTTTTTATAATATTTGTCTCAGGATCCGACTCAATGGTATTCAGAAGCATTCAACGCAGCAGATTTTGTCGGGATATTCGCTTCTCCTGAAACGACACCCGACAAAAAGGAGGAAGTCTACCGGTTCAACCGGTACCTCAACACGGAGTATATCGCTCAAAACCAGTTGAGCAAAGTTTTGTGTCAGCCTGGAGCAAGGTGCAAGTTTTTTGCCATTCTTCTGCCCAATAGCAAGTGGGAAACATTGCCACCCCAGGCCCAAGCGCTAAAACGGTTGGTTGCATTTTGTATTTATAGTGTTTCCCTGTAATAAAAATGTGTTTTATTGTTATTTTTGTATAACAATTTTAATGTTGTTAGACTATCTGACTTCATTGAAGGTGTCTTTTTTGGGGTTTTTAATTTTATTTTTTATGTTTTGTTTTGTTTTGTGTTGGAGTAATCATTGATTTTTTTTTTTCAAAATTTCTCCTCTAGAAATATGCACAAATCATGGATGAATTTCCGTACGGCTTTGTGCTCAAACTTGTCATGTAGAGATTTTTTCAAGAGGTGGATAAATGTGCCAGAGGAGTACGACTGGTGAGTCAAAAGTGTTTCGCATTATTCAGACTAAACAAAAGTACAAATCTATTTTCTGTACATAATGTAAAAAAATATTAACCTACTGCTTTGACTGTTTTCTCATTGGTTATTTCTTCTATGTGTAAGTTTCTTTATTGGTGTTTCTTTCCAGTTTGACGTGTGGTTCTTTTTCTTAAATTATACCTTTTATTTAAAGTACTAAATATGATATGCACATGTCAGGATAATTCAATGTGTTAAACACAAACATGAACAAACATTCTCACCTTAACCTGCCATAGTAGCCACAGTCCATATGGCGCGCATTGGTCATTTCCCCGCAACTCTTTTTATATATCTTAAAAATACAATTTGTACTTCATTCTAGGCCACTTCTGCATTTACTCAATAACACTGGAATCAATATCATTGCTGTTGTAGGAGTTTTCAAGGATCGGATTACTCTAACTGCTGTCCTGTGTAAGTGTCTGTAAGTGAGAGTACCACAAGGCTGTATGCTTGGACCAACCTGTACCTCCTTTACACTTCAGACATCCCCATTACACCCTCTACCCTCCTAGCGTCCTTTGCCTAGGACACAGCTGTGCTTTCCTCTGATTCCAATCCTAAAACTGCTTCAAAGGAGCTCTAGGCATACGTCCAATGAATAGCCAAATAGAGCAAACTTTGGAGGATAATAGTTTACCTTCGAAAGCAAAACCCCCCATGCAGTATTCATCAACAACATTCCTATCACTAAAAGTGACTGTGTGCATTACCTTGAGTTCTATGTTGACTCGCGTTTAACCTGGAACTGACACACACTCGGACTATTCTTTAAACTACCTAACACAAATTTAACATATGTACACATATATCATAACATTAAATAATGTACATGTTATAGTGCACAGATGGTAATATGTATTATATAAAAAATATAAAAAATTGCAGAAGTAACGATACTAGCGCCCCAAATCTATCCTGTAGGGTGGCAAAGTGGTTAGGGTGTCTGACTCGTATTTGCCATGCTAGTGGTTCTGGATTCGAATTCTGGCAGAGCCCATTGCTTTTTTAATTGATAATAGTATGAAAAATCTAAAAATGGTTTGAGCCTCGCCCACTATACCCAATGATGTTATGCCCTCCTGTTTGGCTGGAATCGTTTTACTTTATTTATTTTTTACTTACACCATAAAATATTACTGTATTCACCATTCTTATTTATTAATTAATCTTTATGTAAGGTATGGGTTGAGATAAAAAAGTCAGTGTCACGAGCAAGATTCGAACCCACGACCTTCGGCTAAAGGCTTCGTGACTTCAATCTACTCGGACACCAACTTCCCACCTCAACCCAACCTTTCGAATTTTCCCTTTGTGCCATTTTTCAAATTTTGTGTAATCTATTTGATTCTCGGCGACAAATGAAATGGTCAAGGAGAGTTGTAGTGAAGATATACTTCATTTAACTTATTAAATTCATTAGATTTCGTGGTCCGATTGACCAAAAAACATCTTTAAATTGATTAATCTTTATGTAAGGTGGGAAGTTGGTGACCGAGTGGATCGAAGTCACGATAGCTCAAGTGGTAGAGCAGCGGCGTATTTAGCTGAAAGTCGTGGGTTCGAATCCTGCTCGTGACACTGACTTTTTTATCTCAACCCATACCATACATAAAATTAAATGAAGATGTTATTTGGTCAATAAGACCATGAAATCAAATGAATTCTTATTTATATTAAATTTAATTAAATTCATTATTTAGTAATACACATGTAACTTTCCTTTTCTTCACAACTTGTTTCTGAGAAAGAATTGCGGTCAGCAATCCTGAGAATGTCTTCTTCCTGGGTTTCTTCATTACTAACGATATTACATGGATGCTCATCGAAAATAAGGGCGTGGAGCATCTCTACATTTCGTGGATAAATAAAATGATAATAGCGGTTATTGAAACAAGTTTTGGTCTTCTACTTGGCCAAACCTAAGGCCTGTTTCATACATGGCGGTTTAGATGATTCAACTAAGTTGCCTGGTAGGCTCTCAACTTCTTGGGGGTGAATGTTTGCTTCACACCAGATAACTTGTGGAATTAACTTCCATTCCAACGAGAGATCATTATGATATTAGAACCCAAGGAAACAGGAGCGGAGCACTTCTTGTCGAACATAAATGTAGGTTGGGGCGTCGGAGGCCACTACGGTTTAGACGTTGGCACGGCGCTCATCACTGTAAAGTAAAGGTCCCGGGTTCGAATCCAGTAGTCCTGCATCCATCCGAACCCAACATACTTACGAATGGGTTTTTTTCAAAAACACCGGTACCCCGAGGGTTCAAATAACCTCGCGGTTGAAATACCACAAAAAAAAAAAAAAAAAAAGGTTCATCTAATGTTGCAAAATCGGGAAACAGGCTCTTTCTACTTACACTTTCCTTTTAATTTTATCACTATACTCCTCACATTTCATGTCCCATATCACAGGACTAATATGAATTTGTTCAATGAACTGTTCCAAATTGAAACTTTCAATGGCAATTGAACTCAGATGACTTAGCTAAGCGATTGTGTAAAGGTCAAATTGTGTCTTTTGTGTTGAGTCGACGAATTGACTGCATGTGAAGTGGTTCGAGTAGTTTCCAATTATTTACTACTTGGCTACACTCCTTGACACCCAACCAGTAATTGAATCACGCTCCTCTGAAAGAGGAGCGCTACACCAACATGTTTCTATTATATTGCCTACGAATACCAGACATGTTTTGCGGCAAGTAGCAGTTTCTCTTTTGCTACCTACTGCTTTGAGAAGTGATGGAATGTTCTTTACGTAAGTACAACCGAGTGACAAAATTATAGACACATTAAAAAATCACGATTTCAACACTCAAAAATGATTTCTTTTGCCATTAGAATATTGTTCATGATATTAAAAGAAAATTAATGTGATAATGTTATACAAATGTACATCTCAATAAACAGTATTGTTTTGATTTAGCTGCGACAGAATTGTAGACACACATTTTGTTTACGTTTATTTTATAACTCCAAAGGTTTAGTCAGTATTCACTGTACCGTGCCTTAGTAAAGTGATTACTGTGAGTTCGTTGAAAGTTATTTTAAAATGCCCAAAGGAAGATTTTCTGATGAGGAGCGCCGGTTGATTCACTTGCTCAATGAAGATGGAATGAGCTGCCGAGATATCGCCCGTCACATAAAACAAAGTTTTTCGGTATCGAAGATAATATGACTAGGTGAAGACTTCGGAAGATGGCATAGCTCTGGAAGACCTCCTTCCTTGACCAGAAGAGACAAATCACACATCCTGCGCATTCCTTCAAACAGCTTTTTGATTGCAAAAGCCATCGTAGAGGAGGCAGGTGTTGATGTTTATGTTCAAACTGTTCAGAGATTCCTTAAAAAAACTGAAAACATAGTCCGAAGAAAACTGAAACGCAAACCAGCTCTGAAACCCCACCACAAATTAGCCCGTTTCAAATTTGCTGAAAACCACATTTTGAAAAATGAAGATTATTGGCGAAAAGTTATTTTTTCTGATGAAAAAAAAAAAGTCAATTTGGACGGCCCAGACGGATACGCATACTTTCATGATCTAACTAAAGAAGAAAAAATTTTGTCACAGCGCCAAATGGGTGGTGGATCTTTGATGATTTGGAGGTGTATTGGGTGTAATAAAAAAGGGAATCTTTGTTTTCTTCCAAAAAAAGTCAATTGGGAATATTACAAGAAATTACTGGACAAAGAAAAAACTAGTTTCAGCAATTTATGCAAAGGGACTCCAATATTCCAGCAGGACAACGCACCCATAGACAATGCAAAAATTGTTAAAGAATGGCTTTCACAGAACAGCATTGAAAAACTTGAATGGCCCGCACTCTCACCAGACTTGAACATTACAGAAAATGTATGGGGAAAATTATCGAGGATGGTATATCAAGACTGTAAGCAGTACAACTCTGTCGACGAACTTAAAACAGCTGTCACTACTGCCTGGAATAATTTGCCTCAAGATTTGATTCAAAATTTGTGCAAAACCATTCCAGAAAGATTACTGGAAATAATAAAACAGTGGTAATGCCACAAAATATTATAACCTTGTTTTAAATTGATTTTATCCCATGTGTCTATAATTTTAGTATTTTAATAATTTTTTCTCTTATTTACTGAAAAATTAAAGTTTAGTGAAGAAAAATATTTATTTCATATGTTTTGAATAAATATTTGTAGTACAAACCCATTACATTAAAAAATCATAACAATTAGGGGTGTGTCTATAATTTTGTCAGACATGTTGTATGACAGACCACAATAAAGTTAAAAAAAAATATGATAGTGCGATTAGTAAATAAGATAAAAAATAAAAAGTGGCATACTTCTATTCCTCAACTAATATTTTGTGAGAACCCCAAGACTCTTATCAGTTACTACAGTGGGTTATATTTTTACTATCTCATTTAAAGAAATACAATATACATACAAATAAATACCGGGAAAAGACTGCAAGTTTGCATGCCCTATGGCAGGTTAATATTCTTAATTTTTTATTTTTATAACCAAAAACACTAATAATAACAAGCTATTAGATGTACAGTATTAATAATAATAATGTAAACCAGTTAAAATTTGATTGAGTTGATGTTTATAACATTTAACCGTGGTATTTTTTGTATCCATAAATGAACACAATTGAGCAGGGTCGACAGTAAAATTAGTTCATGCCTAAGGTATAATTTTAATATTTTCAAAAAATTAACTACTTTTCATTGAAAAATCGATTTTTTTTCCTTCTGAAAGAAAGATTTGCTTGAGACAAAGCGATTTATACTTTTTTCTCTGTTTAATGTTTCCTAATAATTCCTTTTCATTTATAATTTTAATTGCATGTGGATGTTTTAACTTCAATGAGGTCAGATAACTTTGACCCATGTTATATTTAATCTCTTGGTTTTACAGTTTTCTTTTTTGGTTTTATAATGGCAGGAAACAATTTTTTTTAAATTAAAATCTCACCACATTTTAGAATTGGTGGGTGTTAATGGATTATAGGTGCTCTTTTTTTATTTACCTCGTATCATAATTATCCTTTTAATATAATAAACAAAAATAAATAATATGTAATCTCATAAAAGCTTTTAACTTAACGCTACCATCCAAATAACCCTTCATTGTTTCCTGTTGTTCTCTTTAACTTCTTGCTATTTTGTAAATTTATTTTTCTAGGGATTGATGTGCTATGCTTTTCTACATGTACATGGTTGTTTCAAAGTGGTTTTACTTTCTATATCTACTATTTCTTCAATGATTGTATTGTGTTAAATTTGCTGTTTGGTGGCAATGCTTTAACACTATTTTGTTGTTAAGATTTTTTTCTCTCCTAAAAATTATTGCCATTTCTTGTTCTTTTCTTGTATAATATATATTTTTTCTTAATCAAATAAATCTCAACTTGTTTAATCAATCAAATTTAGTGCAGTAATGAAATTAAAAAAATATATTTTGTGCACTTGGATGGAATAAGTACCAATAGTGCTTTATTAATAGTAATCTGATGTTGTTTTTTTTTAAACAGATAATGCTATAAATCGGATGGAAATAATTTAACAATTTTTTTTTCAAAACAATATTCCCCATGAAATGATAGGTTTGTCTTGAGTTAAGCCTGACCAAATTGCAGGTACACGTTGCCAAGGGACCTCGACCCTCTCTTAGTGTTGATAGGGGTGACTCCGCAATGCGATAGCGGCGATGGCTTCTTGTCCGCCATAGCCAAAGCGACAGCACCGCCGTCTCCTAACTCCTGCCTGAATCACCCGCCCCCGCCTCCACAGCCTCCTCCCACGACGAGTGAAGAAATCGTTCCTGAAGAGGAGCATTCACTCTGCTGTAATACACAGTCCTGTTCGGACCTGGACCTCGTCTCATCACGGCAGTACCTGTCCGACATGAGCACCGCGTCAAGTATCGATCACCTGAGCCTGTTAGGTGAGTCCAACTAGCATATACTGAATACCAGGAATTTACTTTTATATGATTACCACTGTAAAAATAGCGTCAGGAGAAAAAAACGGGTTTCGTTTGATTTGGATACTTAATGTATTTCTTTGTTTCATTAAACAAGTTTCTTGTAAACTATTTAAATTTTTGGAACTATTTTATTTGTTTAAAAAAAACCTTTGATTTTTGGTTCAATTTTTTATATATAATTTTTATTTATGTTGTTCTGATTTATTTCTTTTTATTTGTCTGTTAAAAATGAATTATTGCTTATTATACGTACGTTATATACATTTTTTAATAAAGTTTATTTTTCCAATTTTATTTTTTATTTTTTTAAATCTAACAACTGTCATTTTATTTCTAATTGTTATCCTATTTGATTTATTTAGTAAGGGATTGGCAAACTACAGGCCCCAGATTAATGTTACAATGTTGTTAAAATTGCAAGTAAATTAAATGCAAGACGTAGATTAGGGAATAAATACTTACAGTGTCTTCCAGAAGTATAAGTAAATTTAGTTTTTTCAGTTTCCTCATATTTTTTCCTACCATTCGGCTTCAAATTTTTAAAAATATAATCTCAAAGAAAGTTAAGGAACATAGTAAAAGTGCAAAAAAACAAACTATTTTTACATAATTTTTCAAAAGTGTACTTAATGTTACAACAAAAAATTTTTATAAACCCCTTTGAGATTTTATCACCCCCGCGATCTGTTTTTATCTCCTATCATATAAATATAAAATAAACTGATATAAACATAGATTCTTAGTTATTTTGATGATAAGATGCAGTAGGATATTTGTTTTGAATCGGGATCCAAATTGGTCGCAGGTGTCACATTTCAATCGAAACTCATTTAACATTAAATTTTCCTCAAAAAAACCAGTTTGATTTTTAAAAAAATTTGTTTAATGGCAATAGGTGATATGTTATAGAGCACAAGTCAGGGGATACTTGCATTTTTGGAAGTGGAAAAAGTTTAAAAATGTTTTAAAAAGACTTATAAACCAAACAAAATACAATTATTATGATATTCTAACAAAAGAAGGTTCAATAGAATTTTTAAAATAGCTATATAAAATTTTTTTATGTGCATATTTGCTCTTATCATTTGAATACATTTTTCCCCATTTTCAAAAATGTATGTAAAAATAATATTCTTTCTTTGTTTTTATTATTCTTCTTTCTTCATTGTTCTCTCCTTTTTTTAACGTGTTAATGCTATTTTGCCTAATTTTTTTAAAATACAGTTGCAGGTTGTTAAAGGTAGTTAATTTTTCATTAAAAACCACCTTCAGCAACACAGCCTAAAAAATAAAAGAAAATGGTTCACAAAAATTGTTTTAATCTTTTTTATCATCAAATAATTAAAAAAAAACATTAAAAACATAAGTTACGAACATTTTTGGGAGACACTGTATATAAAAATACACTGTACTATATGCAAAAAGTAATTTTTTAAGGTGAAGTATGTAAAAATCCCAACACACGTAACATTAACGACTGCAATTATAATAACTAACTTGGAATTCCAGCACTTTTCACATTAGTACAAGTTTTCTAAGTTCAAAGATTGCACTCTGGATCTGGACCGTGAACCTGATTTGGTTTACAATTTGGCTCTTTTCTATATAAAAAAAAAAGTTTGCCGACCTCTGATTGATATGGTAATTAAATCACATTTGTCTTTAATCAAACAAAATTTGAAAACTTGGAACAGGTTTAGCATCTTGCAGGCCCAGATATTCAATATTTTGTTCAAATTAAAATATTTTTATAAACATGGACTATCATGCAAATGTGTAAAACAGCAAACAGAAAATTAAGAATTTCTATGTTAATGTAACAAAAGTCGCAATAACAGCATTAATGATAAATATTAAAATGGCCAGATAAGTTTAATTAAAATATCAAAGTTAAAATTATATAAAAAGTGGTTTAATTACCATTAAATTCAATAAATTGTGTCCAATATAGAGGAAATTTTGATTAAAATTTTGATTTGACTTTTTTAGAGTTAACAAATTATTGATGTTTTTGAGAAATGTTGTTAACGAATGTTGTAAAAATTTATTTTTATAGTTATTACAAATCTTTTTGTTAAAACAATACACTTGGCAATTTAAAGAATATATATTACGTTACAATGTATAACTGTAAATTCTAAAAATAAAATAATTGGACTTTTAGTGAGCCTTTAGCAGTGGACAGAAAAGAGTTAAAGAAAAAGTAAGATATTAGTGGTTCTCCCATGTAGTCTTCCCGTGGAAAAACTCTAAGTCAATTCTTTATCATTTTGTACTAGATTCAATCTACTGATTTTTATCAGATTGATACCAGACAACTGATTATGCAGTTTATTTTCATAAAGATGTTATATTTTGGTTTCATGAGATAGAAACAGAAATAGTTGAAGATATTTTAAAGGGCAAGAGGCTTTGTGAGGACCTCTTGTTACGTTCGTTCATCAGAATCCCAGTTAAAGTCAGAAATGCAATAAATGTTGAACAAATATGAAAAAAATGCCTTAAATATATTTATTATAGACAATTTTATTGTATAGGGATAAAATTTTGTACTGTCTTTTGAAACATGAAAGAAGCGGCAGTGTTATATGTTTTGTAAACAATTTTTTCTTCCGAGTGAAAAACCATAGTTTTATATTTTACTGGAAAAATTGTTGCAAAAATCTTGTCCGTAAGCAGGAAACTGTTTTTACAAACAAAAAATAAGGCTCAGTGGGATAAAATATTTGATGCCGACCTTCAGCAATGCATTTTTATAATTTTCTCAGGTAAACATGTTATAAGAGTTTGATTTTTATATACCTTGTGCCAAAAATAATTTTCAGTATTTGTTTTTTTTTTGGTAACAAAGAGGAAGACTTGAGTATGGAAATTTATAACAGTAGGTACTGTTTGCTAATGTTTTGTAGGTGAAAGAAAAAGTGTCTTTTGATTGAACAAAACACTTTTGGGTCTGTTCATTACAGTCAGAAATCAACCAAAAGTCGATCACATGATAAAGATATCGATTAGTATCAATCTAGACTGCCAATATAAATATTTATAGTGTACAAATTTTTGCTGGTTTGTTTTTGCTTAGGTAGTGAAAATGATAGAATTTATTGTTTGCTGTATTATTATAAGTACAATTGTGATATAAACAAATGAGATGTGAAATCAAAAATTTTTTTTAGAAAATAAAGGAAAAGGGAATTCCTAGATTATTAACATATAAATATAGGTATTTTTTAATTCGTTTACATTTTTGCGTCCTCTTGTTTATGAAATTAACAAATATTAAGGGACATCTGAGGCGACAGTGGTATAACAATCAGAAATGTGCTTTTATTTTAAGTACCTTTTATTTTTCCAGCCGCTGTTGCTGAAGACCCCTTTTTGCTCACAATCAAAACCCCAAGAAAATAATGCGAAAAAAAAACTTGTAAATTGTTGTATATGTTGAAAAAAATGTGAGTTAAAAAGAAAAGTCTGTATTATCTGTACATTTGTGAGAGACTGTTTCCCACTTAAAAAGAACGCAAAATATAAAAAAAATCTTGAATTTATCTTCAAGATGATGTAATAAAACTATTAAACAAATATCTAAATATTACCATATTCCCATTTTAACATTTCCCTTGTAACCAATAAAAATATTTAATTTAACAACTATTTGCCTTAGCCTTAAATACTTAATCACAAATAGTTATAGGTACCATTACGGTAGCTTTTAACTAGATTGTAGATTTTTAATCGATTCTTTTTCATTATCCATTGAGGGTATAGACATAATCGGACATTCAAGGAGAAACAGTATCACCTAATTTATTTATTTTAGAATGATTCTTTTAACCAACTTTCTGAAATTAGGATATTGCAGGTTTTATTTCAACTACAGTTTGTAGCTATCGGGAAAATCTAAAAATTAATTAAATGTGATTACAATATGTAAAATGTAATAAAATATGTATTAAAAGTATTCTTAAATACGCATAAAAGAAGTTGTCTAATATTGTGTGTCTTCATTATCCAGGATGATCTAATTTTATTTTATTTTTTAAGTTAGATTGCATGACTAGAAAACAATCCAGCATGTTTAGGCCTATTTTAGACATTCGTTATAGTTTTAAAATATTTTTAACCATGCATGACAACATGCACTCAATCTTTGATAGTTTATTTCTAATAAAAACAGTGAAAATAGCATGGAGACCTATCTTTTTTAAAATTTTAAAAGAAATATGTTAAAAAAATTTTCGATTTGTTTAAATTGTTTAATTATTATTATTTATTCATGCTTTGCTGTTAAGGAATGTTTTAAATTTATTTTCAAGTAGTAACTTTCTGCAAATCTGTTGATTATACTTTGTCAGATTTTCCTTGTAAATTTAGACACGAATGACAATATTTTCTTGAAAGCTGGACCTTCTGGAATTAATCTCATTTTTATTATAATATAAGTCTTTTCAGTACATAATAACATTCGCATAAGGTTTTCTTGATGGTTCCATGCCTTAGAATCACTTGTTAGGTGATGCTGTTTGTTATTTGAGCAAATATTCTGTTTTTCGGTGAATTCGGTCTTCAATTAGTCAGTTGTAGATTGCATGACAAGATTTAGAAGCTCTGAGCTTGCCGGTAGGACGGAATAGAGAAAAAAAAAATCATCTTTGTTTTGTCAGAAAATTCTAAAAACCTTTTTTCAACATTTTGATTTTCCCGTTAGAAAAACTTAGACAAAAAGAGAAAGAAGTACCCTCAAATTGTGCTTTCATTAATTGTAATGAGTTTGGGCTTTTAGAAGAAAATATTTTAAAGAAATGAAAATCTGGAATGTATACTATTTGATACGTACTGATTACAATGTACATGTTTATAGAAGTCATATGTGTAAATAGATTTGTTGTTACATTATAAGAATTGTAAATAAAACTAAGCGATAAGAATTGTTGAAAATTATCATTGTTACATAAAGGATTAGCGTACTTTATATAAAAGAGAATTGTTTTACAACATTGTTGATTGCAATTGTGATTCGGAACAGTGGAAAAAGATCTTGTTTTGCAGATATAAACACATGTTATTAAGAGCATAGTGCATTGTATGATTTGCGGCTTATTTGTTTATGAAAAAGTTGTTTATTGTTGTTGCATTTGATTAATTGATGTACCTGCAAAAAATATATATATTAAACCAAAATAAAATGCTTTTAGGATTTTAGGTTTTGCATTTTAGAAATAATAACTGAGATAAAAATAATAAAAAACAATCTATTTGCAATCCAAATAGCGTACAAATTGCTCATGGTGATTAGCTTATTTTTTTGCTAACAGTTAGAATAAAATTATTACATTATTTTTATTATTGTAAGTCGAGTGGGTTTTATTTATATATAACATTTAACAATCGTAGTCCAAAGTAGTAAAGCTTGCTCAAGACGAGAAAAAATAAGGTAAATTGTTGCTCATGATTAGTGCCACAGGAATGTTGCTTATTTTTTTATTATTTAAGTAAAATCTGATGCTTCAATGCTTTGCTATTACAATAGTTTTACTTATAATTTACTATATAAAATTTTTTACAAGTGATCTGTTGTCATAAATCTGTAATCTCGCAGGGAGTTTGAAGAATTGCAAATTGATATGCCTTGTGTCCGTCGTTCAGCAAACATTTTTAATGAGAAACATATCAGATAAAAAATATCAGTCTTGTAAAATAAAAAACTAACACGTAAAAATATAAATTTATCATTATTTCCATATGTACAAGATAATTTCAAGGCTCCCTGCGGGAGTTCATGGATCACAGTTTGTGTGACTAGAAGATGTCAAACATGAGTTTATACACTAAAAGTTACAAATAAAAGAAACAAAAATACAAAAAGAGAATGTACAAATAAGCAGACATGTAACTTTGCTTAATATAAATCACTTTCATTTGATAAGCTGTTTATATTTAATTATTCCTTTTCCTGTCTCATTTTTAAGTCTGACATTCTGACGTAAAGCATCTTTGTTGGCTTCGGTGTGTCGTAGGGTGCAGGACAGACTAGTTCATTTTCGTATTTTGTATTATCATCTTCATCTACATCCATTGTAAAAGTTATGTTCATTTCAGAACTTTGTGGCACGTCTGGGGGAGAAAAAAATTGCGGGTTTTAAACATTGTTATTGATGAAGTCAATTTTTATTGTTACCTGGGGGAATGTTTGAGTCAAAGTATTGAGGATTCAGCACCATCCTTACATTACAGTCGAGGTAATCGGCCCCTTCTTCCAGCATCTTTTCAAAAATGTCGGTCAGAGTTTGAAAATCTGGCCTGTGGGAAGGTTCAAAATGCCAACACTCTCTCATTACTTCATACCTAAAATTTAGAAAAATATGTAAAACAAGGAATATTTGAATTTTGAGAAAGGAGAAATAAAAAAATAAAAATTAACATGAGTATAGGCTTAATTAAACTGCTAATTAAATTAATTAAAATCATTTTAGTCTACATTTCCTCTCTGGCATGGTCTGTCAGATATGTTTCATCATTTTGCCATCTTCAGTGGCCCTGTCTTACCCTGCTTACACCCCCAAATGTGAAAAAACCAAAACACATCTGAGTAGAAATACAGATGATAAGATGGTTCTCTCAATCTACTGTTTAACCTTAAATATATTCGGGGGGGGGGGGCTTTGCTTGTGGTCTTGCCTCACCCTGCTTATAACCTTGATCAAACCATGAAGATGGTGAAAAGGTGAAACACATCCAACAAGAAACACAAAGGATAAGACCAGGTTCTCTCAATCCACTTCAAAGTCTTTAAAATATTATGGGGAAGGAGCCTTCTGTCTTTGCCTCACCCTGTACAGCCCAGGTCAACCTCTGAAGATAGGGGTAAAAGCTGAAACAAATCTCATGAAGCACAAGGGACAAGACCAGGTTCTCTCGATCTGCTGAGTCTTAAATATATTGAGGGGGACTTAGCCTATGGCTTTGACTCGCCCTACTTACACCTTTGACCAACTACCAAAAAAGGCCAAACGCTGTCTGCTGAGAAACATGAAATTGTTCAAGGGTATAAGCAGGGCGAGGCAAGGCAATAATCAAAATTAACCAGCACTGAATATGCAAAATACAACAGATGAAACAAATGAGGATAGGCAGTACAAAGTGATCAAGAATGACAAAACTACAAGTTCATCACCCCACAGACCTCATGAAGAAATCTCACAATTTAGCTGTATTACTTGTAACTTCATGTCCAGGCTTTTTTAAAATCAAATAAACATTTATGCCAATTAAAATTCTCAGTCACAAGATTTTTTTTTTAATGAGGGTTCGCAACAGCAGAGGTCATATAAACCCTCAGGGTGCCAGTGTTTAAAAAAAAAAAAAGCCCATTTGTAAGTATGTTGGGTTTGAATGCAGGGCTGCTGGATTTGAACCCGGGACCTTTACCTTACAGTGATGAACGCTGTGTCAAAGACTAAACCTTGCGGCCACCGACGCCCCCCATGGTCACAAGATTAAAAGTTGCCTTCAAACTTCTACCAATTGTGTCTTATACTGAAGTTTTTCAACTCAAAAACAGTCTTTAAATCATATAAATAATTGAAATAAATTGATTGTCATAATTACAGTTTAACAGAGCAGTTATGGGGTCTGTGCATCCTGTAACCATTTTTCAGCAAATGGTAAACATTTTGGACGGCTATTCCTGGATAAGGGGAAGACCCGAGAGTGACAAGCTCCCACATAACGATTCCGAAGGACCACACATCAGACTTGCTTGTGTAAATGTGATCACTGAGGCTTTCGATTGCCATCCATTTTACAGGAACTAAAAAATAAATATAAAAAAGTATTAAGATGCGTTTTAATTTAACAATAGCTTAAAGGTTACCTCGTCCTCTGCTTTTTTTCAAATAGGCATCATCTTCATAGATGTCTCTTGTCAAACCGAAGTCTGAAATTTTACACACTTTGCCTGATGCGAGAAGAATGTTTCTTGCAGCAAGATCTCTATGTACAAGCTAGAATTTTCATGAATAATTTATTATGAGCGTCATATCAAACTTGTCAAGTAAAATTCACCTTGATTTCAGAAAGATAAGCCATCCCCTTGCTGATTTGCCAAGCGAAGCTAAGAATGTCTCTAGGCGTTACAAGTTTGTGGTCTTTAGGAAGGTCAGGATCGGGTTTTATGTTTCGGCTTTTTCTCAAATACGCCCTAAACAATTTAATTTCATTATCGGCCATAACGTAAATTTTGGAATTTTTATACTACCTCAAAGAACCAAGAGCACAGTATTCAATGATAATAGAAAATGGAGCTCCAGAGCTCGTGCTGGCGCCCAAAAGTTTTATGACATTCGGGTGCGACACTTCTTTTAACATATTGTACTCTGAGAGAAGGTCTGAAAGCTCAGCTGGGCCTGCATTGTCTTTAAGAGTTTTGACTGCCACAGTCATAAACCCTGAAAGTGAATACAAGAAATAAATAATCTATTGGCCAGAACAAAACGAATATTGAGATATTGTCACTAAAGATTTTTTCTTTTTCACAACCTTTATTTCACAGATAATTCAAACTAATTCATTAAAAGAAGAATTTTCATTCGTTTCTGATACATCTACCTATTTTTGACTTAAATTTTTCCAAAGAGAATTTCAGACAAGAAATATTTAAAGTAAAAGCCTTATTGTATTCAAAATTGACTTGAGTAAGTGTCAGACAACAACAAATTGACTTTCTGCATTGATGCAGAGTACAATTTGGTTCAAAAAAAGTTTTTGTATTTTAAAATATTTGCAAATTTAACTTTTGTTCTTTTTGTTTAATTGTCTTTTCTTTTTTCAATACAAGTGCAAGCTTTGACTAAAAATTCAACCTGAATTGAACTGAAATTTCTTTTCTTTTAGTTGATACATGTAATCATTTTTATTTTTAGGTTAAATAGGCTGACTATAGCCAAAAAAACAAAACCTATGCATGAATAAGGGTGTGTAAAAATAAATAAATGTAATTTAATTTAAAAATATTGAAAAATAAAATAATAATCAATCTTAAAAAAATTTAAAAGAAAGAAAATTTTTTTAAAATCAGTTTTCTACATATATTTATCTTGCATAAATGAGCTAGTACAGCATAAATTTGATAAAGTTTTAAGTTACAAAATGCTTATTCTTAAATTTTTAATAAACTTTTAAATGTATATAGCCAACAGATTCTCTGTATATTCTTGTAATTATTTTGTCTTTGAAATTTCTTACTTACCTAATGTAAGTATAGGTAAGTCAAAGCATTTTACTTACACTTGACTTTCTGCAATGAAGAGAGAAAAGATCCAAGTTTGATGTAGATTGTTTTAACAAAGCTTTTTTGCCTGTGTTAATGTATAGCAAACGTATAAGCTATCTGTCCTTTCTTGTCATGACATTTGAATAACTATTGCTTATAACTAGATTTATTAAATATCCGTAATATGTAATTAATTTTTGTTGTTAAAAAAAATCATATGAAGCCATACAGAGTATATTTTTAGTAATTAAAATATGAAATATGCTATGTCGTACAGACCTAAAAGAGTAGTAACATAAAAAATGTCAAAATTACAAAAGCACTACACATGTTTTCAACTTTTAGGTGTGTGTTTAAAGGGAGTTGATAAAAAATCTTATTTCCAACTTAAGGCAACATAAATTATGGTCTATTTGTTTATATACAGATCTTATAACTTTAACTTTTGATGAAGGTACAAGGTGCCAAATTTCTTGGAGATTGTTGGAATAGTCTTCATATATTCTAACTTTCAGTTTTACAAGCAAATAGCTTATATCTGACGGTATAACTTTGCTGTAGATTGTGTTTAAAGAATAAAATGCAAAATGTGACATTTTTGGGAAAAAAAGAAAAACACTGTGTTTAATTCACTATTTTCGTGGCCCGCTTGACCAAAATGGCAAAAGGAGGGAAAACTCATAAGGTGGGGTTGAGATGAGGAGTTGATGTTCAAGTGGATCGAGGTCACGATAGCTCAGGTGGTAGAGCAGCGGCGTATCTAGCCGAAAGTCGTGGGTTCGAATCCCTCTCGTGCCATTAACTTTTTTTCATCTCAACTAAAAACCTTAATTAATTGTCACTGTGTTTAATGGCATTTGACAAAATCCTAATATCCAACTTAAGGTAATATAATTTATAAGCAATTATAAGCTATAATAAAATATATAATAAATAAATTATATAATAAGTTATATTTTATTATTATATATTTATATAATAAGTTATATATAATTATATAAATATTAATAAAATAAAATTAAATAAGTCTAAAAATGAGACCTTACAACTTGGGATTGAACAGAGATACAAGGTGCTAATTTTCTTTTAGGGATGGTTGGAATAGGTTTTGTTTATTTGTCTGTGTTTTTATTGAATTTCCAATACAAAATTAATAAAACCATTGGCAATTCTTGGTTAAATCCATGTATTTTGCAGTTTTGCATTTAGAATAGTTGTTATTGATTTGCAATCATACTATAACAAATACAAAACATAAAATTTATGATTGTAATTGGTTTTAATTTGCAAAATCTCTATATATATTTTGAACTTTTTTTTGTTCAAGTATAAGCTTATGTGCCTGCATTCTTAGGGATGGGTTGAATAGGTTGAGACAAATTACCTGGGTTTTTATTGAATTTCCGATAAAAATAAAATAAAACCGATGTCAATTCTCGGTTAAATTTGTGTATATATTTAAGTAGTAGACAAAATCCGTATAAATTTCCAATTTAAGGTAATGTAACTTATAAGCAATTATAAGCTATTTGCTTATTGTGGGACCTTTCAACTTTGGATAGAACAGAGGTCCGACGTACCAATTCTCCTAGGGATGGTTTGAATAGGTTTTGATAAAATCTGTATGTTTCTTAGTGACCGGTTGTTTCATAATGTGTTGAAGTCGTGAGGAGCAGTCAAGTATGAAGTAGTTTAGAGAAAAAATAAAAAGTACGGTAAAAAAATAAAAATGGTGTTTTTCTAAACTACCTCATTCTTGACTGCTCCTCACGACTTCATCAAATTTGGATAAAAATATTGGTGATTTTTATTTTTATTTATTTATTTTTTTCGAGTGTTCACAACAGCAGAGGTCATATCAATCTTCAGGGTGCCGGTGTTTTTGAAAAAAGCCCATTTGTAAATATGTTGGGTTCGAATGCAGGGCTGCTGGATTCGAACCCGGGACCTTTACCTTACATTGATGAGCGCCGTGTCAACACCTAAACCGTTGCGGCCACCGACACCCCGGTGGTTTTTATTGAATATCTAATTAAAATAAAATAAAACCAATGCCAATTCTTGGTTAAATCTGTGTATAGAATTGGCAGTAGACAAAATCCATGTATATATTTCTAACTTAAGGTAATGAAACTTGTAAGCAATTATAAGTTATTGGCTTTTATATCGGACCTTATAACTTTGGATGATCAGAAATCCAAGGTGCCAATTCTTCGTAGGATTAAATCTGTATGTAGATTGAGGCAGTAGACAAAATCCACATATATTTCCAACTTAAGGTAATGTAAATTTTTATTGCAACTTATAAGCAATTATAATCAAATTTATATATGGGGCCTTACAACTTTGGATTGAACGGGAATACAAAGATACAATGCAACAATTCTTTTAGGGATGATTTATATAGGTTTTGATAAAATTTTGGTGATTTTTATTAAGAAAATAAAATCAATGCCAATTCTTGGTTAAATCTGTGTATATATTTAGGCAGTAGAGAAAATTTCCAATTTATTTATTTCCAATTTAAGGTAATGTAACTTATAAGCAATTATAAGCTATTTGCTTATTGTGGGACATTACAACTTTGAATAGAACAGAGGTCCAAGGTGCAAATTCTCTTAGGGATGGTTTGAATGGGTTTTGACAACATTTTTATGGCTTCTATTGAACTTTCAATAAAAATTTGATAAACCAATGCCAATTCTTGGTTAAATCTGTGTATATATTTAGCAGTAAAGAAAGTCCATGTATATTTCCAATTTAAGGTAATGTAACTTATAAGCAATTATAAGCTATTTGCTTATTGTGGGACCTTACAATTTTCGATAGAACAGAGGTCTAACATGCCAATTCTCTTAGGGATGGTTTGAATGGGTTTTGACAAAATTTTTATGGTTTCTATTGAACTTTCAATAAAAATTTCATAAAACCAATCCCATTTCTTGGTATTTTGTAGTTTTGCGTTTGTAATAGTTTTTGATTGAGTCGCAATCGTGTAATATCCGTAGGCGACTGGGCGGGACTGCGGCCTTGCGCATGTCCCCTGCTTCAGCCGGCAACAAAATCGAATAAAAGCTACACCAACATCGAAACAGGGGCGATTCGGGCGCCAATGTAACCAAAGGAGATTCGTTCTGTTTTAACACAGTTTCCAACATCCATCATCAATTCTATAATTCTATAAATACCGGCCGGTTTCGGTCAATGATGATCGGCAGTTAGTAGACGGGAAATAAGATCAAAAAATACGGACCGACTTGCCCAATACCGGGCCTACCCTACAGACGGGTAAGTTGGAAAATCACTTTTCATCTCTTTCTCTGCCCTTTAACCTTGACTTTAACGCAGAAAATAGTTTAGATTTTCCGTGAAAGTGTAGCTTTATTGTTGTTTAATCAGCCTCTTGTCGGTTTTAAGAATCTTCCGTAATCTTGTTATAAGTCAATCTACGTACCGACAACGACGTATATTTCTCCCTAGGCCTTTTAGAAAATCATTTTTTTTCACGGCTAAATTTCAATATAAAATAGCAATTTCAATGATTTTTAAACTTACATGACATCTTTGTAGTAAAATTTATAAATAGACAAAGTATATGCGGTAGAATTCGGCTTTGTGAAACATTGATTTTGTCACCAGCAAATAGTATGGAATTTCCTTATCAGACAACCGGTTTGGTTCGACATTCTCAAAGTGGACCAAATTTCAATTATATCAGTAATCAATAACAACAACATTCGAGTAAAAGCATTTTTGATGATACAAAAGTACTCCAGGTGAAATAATCTTTAATATAACAGCTCAACAATATCTAAACTTGGAAAAAATACACTGTGCTTTTTTGTAATTTTGCTTTTGTTTCTAGAGAGGTTTTATTGAAGGAGACTAGAGATGAATTGTGGGATGAAAAGGAAATGGGATGGTCTTGATATGGACTTTGCGCCGCAGGTAGTCCAGCAGCCGTTTGACATAAATGAACTGAATGATCCAAAACGTGTCCGTCTTTCTATTCAGCTCGGATCCGCCGGCCCGTCCGCGTCCGACTGCGGCTCGTTCGTCGGCTCTGAGACGCCGACTGAGGCCTGGAGCTGGCAGGGGAGGACTACGGTAGACACGGACCCGGATGACATGGACATGGAAGACAGGGATCAGGGTCAGGACGACATCCCGACAACCGCCGAGGTCATCAACAGTCTGCGTAAAGTCATCCTGTGGATGTCGGCACAGGACGATCACAATAACGATTACATCCAGTATCTTACGGATGTCGAGCATTATGCACTGAGCAAACAGCCAAATATCCAGCAGCGCAAAATTACCCAATATTTCATCCGTCGTGATTAATGCTAACCCTATTTTTAATATTGCTGAAAAAAAAAATAAAAAAATAAACTAATATTCAGCTGTCTTTTAATGATAAATGTTGCATGCTCAGGTTTTAATCGTTACTAAATAGAATAATATACATAAGTGATACAGTTTTGTTTTTTCAGCCTTTTTGTACATTGAATTTAAATGAGAATTTGCCGATGGCTGTTACTAATTTTTAACTTTTTTACTGAGTATTATGTAATCAAAGACTGTTGGAAAATGTCGGTTAATATTATTTTCTCCTTTAAAATATATATATTCCCTGAGTTGGTTATCGAGCGAACCAAACTCAATGAAAAGATAATTATGAAATTGCACAGGAAAAAAATGAAATTGCATTGCTCTTACCTAGTCCGTGCCATCTTTTCATTGAATTTTAAATTAATCTTTGAGTCTCTGTACATAGACTTGAATTTAGTGTATTTAATTGTAATGTTATCTGTTGTATGTGATTATGTTTGTAATTGAATGATGAATAAACTTGTTTATTTTAAAAATGAAAATATATTTTTTCATTTATTTACCCATAATATTTTATTGATTATTGCTAATCATAATGTTTTAACAAATCCTTATCCATCCCTCTTAATTTGTATTTATACTCGATCAACTGATCAAATAAAAATAATTTTTTTATTATGAAAATTGACATGACTTTCATTTGAGATTGTATCAACAGACAAGAGACCAATGAAACGTTATGTTCATAAGTAGGCTGATCAGCTATGGAAACGCAAACCATTTTACCATAACTTATCAGACTACAATTTTTAGAAATTCGATATGTTTATTAATGCTAAACAGAAAAAATCAAAAAGTCAAAAGTTTTAAAATTTGAAATTTGCATTTGTCAATTCAACGATTGTTTTTTGTTGAAAATGAAAGTACAGTTTTGTTATTAGTAATGGATGATTCGATTAAGTCTAGAGTTAGATTTATATGAATTTAACAATTTAGCACAACAAGGTTCATTAATAACTATTGTTTTGCTAAATTAAGCAGAAGGGAAATATTCATAGAAAACAAAATAAGTAACTAAACAACTTTATTGCTTATATGATTGAAATAAATAACAGGCTCTAAGTTTAATTATTTACTACTAGTATTTTTTTTAAAATTTTTTATATATAATTTAGATACTATCTTGAGGTAACGCGATGCAATGGAATCCTTTTTTTCTCAATTAGTTATTCCCACCGGTGTGAACCTTTAGCTGCTGTGTCGAATCCACTGAACCACTGGCTAGAGCAAGATGATAGGCCTTTTTTTTTCTGTGACATCCTGTAAATTTATGCCATAAAGGTTTCTGAACTTTATATATTCATGTTTTATCCCATAACACCCGAGTTTGAATTCGACCCCTCGAGAATCAACTTTGACCTGGTTTACAGTCGCACTGTGTCGAGTTTATAATACGGTCAACGTGTCTTTTTTGCAAATAAAACGGATATTTAAATTGTAAATTGAAACTCATTTTTGTCTTTTTTTTTTCAAACTCGAATTAAGTAAATTTTAAAAATGCGACGAGTCGAAAATAGTAACAATTCAGAAACTGTGGTTGGTAAAGCCTTGAACTTTAATAAGCCAATGGTAAGGACGGGCTTCACCTAAAGTATATAACTTAAGTTCCCCAAAAGGGAAAAAAGTCTTTTGTAGGAAGCGCTTAATAAAATTTTCTCAAATAGGGCAGAAAGTTCTTCACGATCGTCAAACCGAAATTTGTTTAAAAAAAAGTTGGGCGCCTCTTTAAAAAGGTTTTTAAACCTACCAAAGATAGTAAAATCACGTAATCCATTAAATGCTGAAAATAACCACTTTTGCTTAAAACGAGTGGAAGAATTAGAAATCTTAACTTTGGAAGCAAGCAGATCAAATAAAAGAAACATCAATCTATGTTACTATCTATGTATCTAATTTGTCTATATCTTACTGGCACACTTTTAGGTTTACCTGGGCATGCTGGTATATCATGAGCAGTTGCTTTAAGTACCCTTCCGAATTCACCTTCTCCGAGGCACTCCTCGAGAATCAACTTGCTCCTCGGCACATTCCATTTTGGATCAATGTCAATCTGAAAAAGATAAAAAAAAAGCCGTTTCGTTATTAGAATGTGTTCAAACGTGCTTTGTGCAACATGTCTGAAACGGCAAACTGTCTTTTATTTAGTTGGGACTAGGATAAGGTTGAAGGTAGAACGCCATTGGGCGGAGGGACGTTGAGGAAAGAGCTTTGGCAAGGGTTAGGGTGGAGGGATAGCTTAAAATCGAAATTGTGGAAACCTGTTCGTATCAGATCCTCCTCGAAGTTAAGGTGTTTGGTTGGTGACGTTGATTCGATGTAGCTTATGAGGAAAGGAGTGTTTTTCTCTAAATCCAAAATTTGAATGACTAAAAATACATTATCCAAATAAAAAGCTTAAATACAAACAGCTTAAGCTTATTTTCCTGATCTAGTAAATTTTACAACCCCAGCACTGAATATGGCGAGAAGCCGGAACGTGTCTGTCAGACCAAATCAGCGAGGATTGGACGAACTGGGAAATAGTTGCGTAGTTTATTGTGAAGGCCCTATGTTTAATATGGTCATTAGAGTGCGTATTCGTTGTCTTCTAACCAAATTTGATGTAAATTAGCCATGTAGAAGATGTTCACTGCGAAGAAAGTTTGTATGCTTTTCCGTTACCACTTATTTTTTTGTTCCCTGGCAGCAAATCAATAGGAGGTTCTTGGTGCTTCGTTCCATTACTTTAGTAATGATTGGTGTACAATAAATCAAAAGATTCGAGCATTATCTGCTTAATTACTCGATAAAGTTTAAGGGGACAGGAGTCTTTTTCTCAAAATCTAAAATCGGTGTTAGATAGTAATTAACATTAGTAAACCTTCCATGAGGATCAGACATTATTTTCTAAAATTAGAGCGTCTGTAGCACGATAAACTATTAGTTAGGTCGCTCCTGATCCATTTGGTCTGACCGACCCGTTTTGACTTTTCACCATCTTCTATGGTGGGGTTGTTTATTAGTTCGAAAATTTGAATTAATTTGATTTTAAGCACTAAAAATACCTTATCCGGCCCGGAGGACCAGACGAACTTACGCTAATTCCCTGATCCATAGCAAGAAGCCAAAATCGTCTAAGAGGCCAAAACAGCGAGGATAGGCAAACCAAAATGGTGACGACTAAACTAAGGTGCACCTCGCAGATCCTATGGAGAAGTCTCACAGTTTGGCTGTATGATTAACATTACTGGCTACTTCAGGAACAGGCTTTTTCCAACCAGAAAATGATTCAAAACATTCATAATGTGCATTTTGTTGAGTTCCCATGATTCACAATATAGATGAAGAGTATTAACAAAAACGACCAAACTACAAAAACATTATTTAGTGACTTTTTTATGTATGACTATCTGTACAAAAATAGTCATTGAGCAGATAGAAAATCGTACATAGTAGAAATCTGAAAAATCTGTTAGACCATGGGGTGGTGGAGAGGAAGTGCTGGAAGTCTGTTTTTTTGGGGACTAAGATAGGGTAGGATAGAAGGTGTAGAGTTTTAGAAGGAAGTTCGTTAAGCAAAGTGCTTGGGCTAGTGGTTTAGGTGGAGGGATTGCTTGGAGTGGAAATTGTAGAAACATGATGGGTTCAGATTTTCCACGTATGGTGTATGCCTGTCCTTTGGAATCGTTAGAATAGAATGTAAAAGGGAGTGTTGAGGATATGGCAGAAAACTTTGGACTTCCAGGATGGAAGAAAAGATTGGATTCGTTGAATGTTGGAGGATTTGGCTGAGCCCTAAAGCTCGACTCCGTAAGTCCTTGAACTTACAATCTTTACTCCACTGCAACCTATATAGGTCTAGTGTGGAACCTCTACGATAAAGATCGTACTGAGCGCTTTTTCCCCGCAGAACTTTCCTCGGTGCTGCTACACGCAATTCTCTTGGCGTGAGAACTGCCTTACCGAACTGGCTAACCATAGTGCTGATGTCTCTGATTTCTCTTGACACTTTCGGCTTTGCCTATTGTCTTTAGACAGCTTATAATTTTCCTCAAACCTGGCTGAGAGAAAGTAAGTAATAGTACCTTCGCCTTCCTATTTGAGTGATTTATGAATCTCTTAGCTTGAATATAGCGATAGGGTTGTCATGACTTCATTCCTGAAGTTTTCTTTCTCAAGCCATTTTTCCAACTCCATCTTTAGCACACTCGCCGACGGGCTTCAAGCCTAGGTTCCATGGGTGAGAGGGCAGCTTCTTCTTTGTCTACTTCGTCAACCTGTTAGTTTTCTTCTTTACGTTCATGTCTCGTTACCCAGCTGTAGCCTAACCGTGTTTTATTTTCCAGGGTCATTAGGCAATTTACGCCCTCGCAGACTAGTTTGGCATTAGCGCTTGTGCAGCCTGATGTCCGATAGTTTGTAGATCCGTGTACCCTTTATTTTATTTTCATCAACTGCACAGCTTGGAATATAGTTGCAACTAGTCTAAGGGATAGGTGTCTAGTTGTCTATATTGAGTTCTTGTCTTTTTATTTTAGTAGGAAGGTTCCACGTAGGTCATATTCAAGTAAAGCCCAAAGGTATGTGGATTGTACGGCAGATCTGTTATCCGGGCGAAGAGTCACCCGATGGCTTTTTGCTCGTTTAACTTGGTTTAATGAGGTCCAGATGTAGTTGGATTGTTTTTGATGTTGTGGATAAGATCGCGTTGTCGTCCGCGTAGGCTGTGAATTGTGTGTTAGGCTCAACGTTTTTAAGGATGGGTTGAGATAAGAAGGTTAGTGTCAGAGTGGATCGAAGTCACCATAGCGTGGTAGAGCAGCGGCGCATTCAGCCGAAGGTCGTGGGTTCGAATCCCGCTCGTGACATTGACTTTTTTATCTCAACCAATACCTTACATAAAGATTAATTAATTGAAAGTTTTTAAGCACGTTTAGTATACCACGAATGCCAGTAAATTTTCAACTTATCAATGCATTTTTTTTTTCGAAAAGTCACTTACCGTGGGAAGAAGTTCGATGTTTGGTGCGAGTTCGATCTCAGGCCTAGTCAGGAGAGAATTAGTAGAAAATCTCTCATCCCTCAATCTTTCCTTTTTCTTAGGCCAGCACTTTCTACAATACATATAATTTACTTATTTAATGTAACAAACTTTGTAAGTGGTTATTTTTAAAACGACCCAAACCCACCTGGAAGATATAACGAAAATAACCGAGGACAAAACTAGACTAACGCATCCGCCGGCCATGAAGAGTATAAGTACGCAGTCCTTGTTGCAATGTCCAGGCAGTCCGGCGACTGCAAACAGAAAACCCATTAATTCGACTGTTTTAATAAAAGCTGACATGTCACATACATTCAGAGGACCTGCGAAGCAACAAAGCATGAGAAAATTTTAAAATTTCCAACTTCGTTCTCACAAATCCAAGTTTGTTGCGACTTTTTTCAAAACATGTTACAAAACCAATTGACTAATTATTTTTTCCGAGTAGATAAAGCGAATGGAATCATGCATGTATACGTCAACTCATTCATGTTTTTATATTAAGCACCTTTTGATTGATCAAAGGAAAAGAGCTTATTTTTAAGGACTTACTTTCGTTGACTTCTTTTATTCTGTTATTGTCCTGATGTCCGTTCACGGGTATCACAGTTTCCTGCCGAGCCATTTTCTTATTGTCCTCTTTCTTTTGCAAATATTCCGGAGACGTGATTTCTTTCAACAGAACACAATTACTTTTTATTTTTAAGCGTTTTTTTTAAATATTTCTTTTTGTGAACGGACTTTGCACGTGAGACTCTTTTTGCACAGAAGCGCGTGTTGTGCTGTTGCATAGCTAAATACATTTTCTACATTAAATTGAAAAAAATAAAAAATAAAATGACAGTAAATTTTGATACATTTTCATATTCTGACGTAGGACTTGTTTTTTTTTCTCTCACATACTCTATATTTACATTGAATTGAATTAAACATGTTCTACCCAGAAAGGCTCGTTTTATCTTCCTGTGTTATTTAGATGAGGATGAGCATTATTGTTAGAGATATATAAAAAGCGGAACATTTAAGACACTATAACAATAAAAATGATCCTTATTTGGTGAAAATTTAATCATAGGAAGTCCATATAATATGATATTTCAGCAAAAAATTAAAATAATAATTTTATAGAATTCATGATTGGGTGTCTTAGGACTTTATATTTAATAGTACAATGTGATAATGTCTATGTATGAAGTAAAGGCAAAAAAGTTTTTTTGCATCCAATGTTATGGCCATGCTTGTTGCAAACGATCTAGGTAAAGCGGGGAACACACCCGATGCAACGCTATGCTACGCTACCCGACGCCTTGCCACTTTTTGGTATCTTATCACATCTATGCGACGTCAAGCGCACGCCACGTACAGTCACACAGAGTGTTATCACAAATCAGTATCACAATCGCAACGCCTCTTTTGTTCTTAATCTATTATTTTAAGCTAAACCATGTAATAAATTGTTAGTTAAATTTTATGAGCACAATCACGTAATAATTTTTTTGTTAAACTTAATTGTTTTGAATAAAGTTATTACGGTGTTTTGATCAATTTTCTTCCTAACCATCATAATTAAATAATTTTTATAAAAACTTATGAATTTTTGATCTCGTTTAATTTGGTTTACATTCAAATAGGAATGTTGTAATTCATATAACGACAAAATTACATATACTTAGTTTGAAATAAACTACAAAAAATATGAGTGTCCTGTTCTGATGTTACTTGACGAAAATGGTGTAATTTTATGAACAAAACAATGCAATAAATTGTTAGTTAAATTTTATGAGCAAAACCACGTAATAAATTGTTAGAAATTCTAAACGATGGGGTGTGTGGAGTTCAATCCTTTTTAAAAAGATTTAATAAATTGTTTGTTAAACTTAATTGTTTTGAATAAAGTTATTTCGGTGTTTTGATCAATTTTCTTCCTAACCATCATAATTAAATAATTTTTATAAAAACTTATGAATTTTTGATCTCGTTTAATTTGGTTTACATTCAAATAGGAATGTTGTAATTCATATAACGACAAAATTACATATACTTAGTTTGAAATAAACTACAAAAAATATGAGTGTCCTGTTCTGATGTTACTTGACGAAAATGGTGTAATTTTATGAACAAAACAATGCAATAAATTGTTAGTTAAATTTTATGAGCAAAACCACGTAATAAATTGTTAGAAATTCTAAACGATGGGGTGTGTGGAGTTCAATCCTTTTTAAAAAGATTTAATAAATTGTTTGTTAAACTTAATTGTTTTGAATAAAGTTATTTCGGTGTTTTGATCAATTTTCTTCCTAACCATCATAATTAAATAATTTTTATAAAAACTTATGAATTTTTGATCTCGTTTAATTTGGTTTATATTCAAATAGGAATGTTGTAATTCATATAACGACAAAATTACATATACTTAGTTTGAAACAAACTACAAAAAATATGAGTCTCCTGTTCTGACGTTACTCGATGAAAATGGTGTGATTTTATGAACAAAACAATGAAATAAATTGTTAGTTAAATTTTATGAGCACAACCATGTAATTAATTGTTAGTTAAATTCATTATATCAAAAAATGGTATTCCGATATTTTGATCAATTTTCTACCAAACCATTCTTGCCAGATGTCTTTGCAGAAATGCCAGAAATCGTTGGAGCTTGGCTGGGCTGTGCTATTCCATCATTCGGCTGACTTTGATCCTTCAGTTTTTGTTGCTTATTTTGGGCACTGCTCTATTAATGGAAAAAACTTTAGTTCGAAAACACATCAAGGAGTTAGTTCGTCGGATAAGTTCTGGGAGGACAAAAACGAACGAAAGGCCTTTAGTTATTTTATTCTTATTACATTGTGTAACAAAATTACCACGTATTTTGGAAAAGGGGTAAAATTTTATAATGTTACTGTAAGAAAAAGGCGTATAATTAAATGAAGACTTATTTGGAAAAAAAGTCTTCCTCTTAATTCAAACGTGACTTTGTTGGGGTAAATAGTGCGTTTTGCGTCGTTCACCCAAACTTCAACATGAGGTAATTTTTTTGTTTTATATTTACCGTAAATTTCTCTTTAGGATCTTACTTTTATGCGAAAAATTGTTGATTATGCAAATTCTATTTTTTTGCCTTATACAATTCCGCTAGATAATGCATTAAAAAATAATTGTTTTTAGTCAAAAATTAGAGATTTTATATTTTTTATTTAACAATTTTATAAACAATAAGAGCGAATTAGTTAATAAATCCGTCTTTCCAATTCTAATTCCAGAACAAAAAGATTTGGAGACGTAGAGAACTACATTTGCCTTAATAGAGCGCGTGATCTCCCGGATCAACGAGGTTTATCTAACCACCAGCGAGTACGTGATGATAGGACTTCGGGTATCATCAGAAAACTAAGCATCCCTGATCCCGTGTATTTCTCAGCATTTGTGGATAAAGGCTAAACAATAACCGCTTTGAGGCCCGAAATCTCACATTTCGTCCTCTAACGAATTCATAACCAAAACAAACTTGTAGTACTTAGCTAACGTTTCCCAGGACACAGTGCCTCTGATGCCATTATGGAGTTGGGGTGATATAGCAGGACTTGGCGACCTTGAAGACCATCCCTAACTAATTTTGAACAACTTTGTGATTGATGTTTTGAACTGCTTAGCTAAGACTTGATTTATTTACGACTCACAGACCAACATCACCACCAATAATAAAATTATTTTCTAGTTGTACACTTTGTTTTAGACGGTTGGTATCTTTTTCATCCCTATTTGTCCAGTTGGAAAATATGATGAAAGAAAAACTTCAACATTCTATGTAAAAAATATATTTTAAACTAATGTGTGGTGATTAGTGACCTTTAATCGATATTTATTTAGAAATCGTGAGATGCGGTCTGGTGTGATGTAGGTTTCAGAAAAACATTTTCTTTATCGTGCCAACGTTTCAATCTTTATTGAGATCATCTTAGGGCCTGGGATTTACAAACATTGTTTACATATAACAATTACATTTTGGATGTGGAAAACTAATAATGACATTATTAAAATTGAAAGAAGCTGAGTTTTTAGTTCGTTTAAATAGTAACTATTCCAAATTTGCCTTATCCGACGTTACATGGCACTGACACTCATCTGTAACGGTTTAGTTCGCACAGTTAGCTGATGGCGTTTTCATATGAAAAAAATTAAACAAAAAAAAATTAGGCAGTTGCAAACAAAATTGAATTAAATATTTGTATGTGGTGATTAGTGCCATCCCAGGCACTGAAGATGTTCTCAATAAAGATGGAAACGTTGGCACGATAAAGAAAATGTTTTTCTGAAACCTACATCACACCAGACCGCATCTCACGATCTCCGAATAATCATTAATTATTTGTACTGTACAAAACAAGCCTGAGACTGGGTAACAGACTAAAACCGTCCGTTTTTAGGTGTTTCAGCCTACTTAAAGCTGATAGAAATAATTTTAAAATTAATATGAAAAATATATTCTAGGATAAGAAATCTAAGCATCTAGATGCTCGATGATTCACCATGTTCAAAATTGGCTAAGTTTGATATCAATGTAAAATCAGAAAGTTTGATAAGTTTTAATTAAATAATTAATTTAATGATAAAATATGCTTTAAGTGTTTTTATTTGGTAACTAACAATTCATAGATAACATGTATCTTTTGATAAGCTAATATGGCGTGGTCATGAAACGGAATGAAAGAGGCAAAGTCTAGTATTATTTTTTTTGAAACTTGACTGCCATGATGAGTGAACCCATAACAAAATTGGTCCTAGGATAAACTTGGAAAGATTATATTTTAGTACACTAAAGGAATCTGGATGTCTGATGGGCTCATGGGCAGGGCGATAAAACAGTGCATCTGACCGATTAAGTGGAGATCTGTTCTTCGTTTTAGTGAATCATGTCTATTATGGTCGTTCGGCTCTAAAGTTTTATCGAAACTTTAATCCCGGTTTTCTAGGAGACCCTTAAGTGCGAAGTTTAACAAAGTAGTCTCATTAGCAACCAGGGTTTGCTAGATTTGCTTTTTAAACATCAAAACAAGATCTCCTCAATTATCTATATGCGTGTGCGTTTGGAATGTAATTCCCAATTTCCTGATTTCATTTTATGACCAATATTGATCAAAATGGTGGTGTTTGATATCTCTAGAGGGTCGGTTTTTGAGATGGAGACGCTGTTGGTACTGAAGACCTAATATCTTTGCTAGATGTGTCTTTACAAGTTCTGGTGGATCACCATTTCGACAGATCAGAAGCCTGGGTTTTTAAGGGGTTCATATAAAGTGTAACTAGGGTTGGTTTGCTCAACGTTTATGATAAAATATGAGGTTGATGTAACCATTATCGGATATGATTTTGTCCTCTTCTTCACTGACTGGGATGTGTCGCGATGGGGGGCGAAACTGGATTATTGGATTGATCTTGACGAAGGGTGGTGCATACGGATCATACATTTGGCAGTGCCAATTACCGATAACGTTCAATTCCATGTGTTACTATTCCCTAAGAGACTATTTCTAGATAAAAAGAGTTAGTAAATCTGAAATATGGTCGAGGTCTGCATGGTGATCACTTTTTAAAATTAAAGAAACAGATTAACCACTGAAGAAGCCGAAATGAAGATGTGGGTATTACAGACTAAACATCAATAATAAGTTTAG